CCAGTCACCTTTATTCCGGGAGCCTCTCCTCCCATTTTCATTGTCCCCGTCTGGCGAAACCAAAACCGGCCCCTCCAGCAGAAGAGCTCCCAGCCTGGGCATGTGTGATTTTGGGGGTGGGGGGGGAGGGTGTTTTAAGAGGACAACACAGAGGACAAAAGCCAGATCTCAGCTCATTCGGGAGAGGGGCTAACAGTTCGGGAGCAGCAGGGAAGGGAAACCGGAACCCCCCCTTCCCAGCACACATACAATCGTGGGTTGGGTCCGGCACGCGACACAGGGAACCTGGCTCTCCTGGAAGATCTCGGGGCGTCTCAGACTTCCCCCACCTCGGGATGGAGGTCAGGTCTCCAAATCGCGACGTGCCGGAGGCACAGGAGTCCGCCGGCCCCCTCCCCAGCCGTGTGTCTGACGCAGAGGGAGGCGTGAGGAGGTCAGTTTGCGGCCAACACTGAAGGCTTCCCCGCGTCTGTCACCAGACAGCAACCCTCCCCCAGCAGTGACGCCGCTCTCGCCCCAGGGCCAGCTGTCCCCCTTGCCCCCCACTCAGGCTGGATCTCGGGGTGTGTGTGTCCCCCAGCCCTCTCCGCCCTCTTCCAGCACACCTCCCCCCCCACCCCGGGTTTTCTGGCCGCCCAGTCAGTGCTTCTTGGGCTGGTTTGGGCCGATGTACTTCAGCGGGGTGTAGCCAGGTTTGCCGATGATCTCCGTGCCCATCAGCGGCTGCAGGACCTCCGGCACCTGGACGCTGCCATCCTGCAGGTGGGAGAGCGGGGACGGGGGGATGGGGACGGAGGGTTAAATGGACGTCGCGGGCCCAGAACCTCATTTTCACGGTTTGCATCGGGGGTCCCCCGACGTGGCGCCCGCAGACAACCTCCCTGGCACCTGCTGAGTGTTTTCAGGAAGCAGGTCAGGTGGGGCTATGGCCTGGTGAGGCTTCTGGTTGGCTGTTGGAGATCTGATCGGCTGTGTGGATTCTTTAAAGGTTGCTTTGGCAACGGCTGCCCCGACAACACAAGGAACTTCGCTGTGGGGCGGAAGGGATGGTGTGGCGGCCATTTTGTGGCTGGCTCTGCCCCCTGTGGCGGCCATTTTGTGGATGTACCCACCGTGCTGCGTCTGAATTCCTAAAGTGCCCACCGGCTCCAAAAGGCTGGGGATCCCTGGTCTACATGGCCTAAAGCCAGGTAAACAGAGCACACCAGGCTTCACTCCGGCCAGGCCCACCAAGTTACAGCCAACGCTCCCTCTAAGCTGTGGAGTCCTGCGAGTGAAAATTCTACTTGGTGAGCCGCTGGCATTAAAGTTATGAGCTAGCGCTTTGGCTGCTGCACGAATCAGTCCGCTCTGCAGCCCTCCTTCCTGAGCGAAGGCAACAACGGGTGAGCCAGAGGCTAAAAAACTGCGAGCTGGCTCACGCTAACTCAGCTTAGAGGGAACCCGGGTCGCAGCCACAGAGCAATTTGACTGGGGAACGGATGGCATCTGTACCCTACTTTGGACACTCAAGACCTCTCTCCAGCCTTCTGCAAGACTGCTGAAAGGCAGCTCTCTGCTACCGCCCCCTACTGGTGACCAACGCTCCCTCTAAGCTGTGGAGTCCTGTGAGCAAAAATTCTACTTTGTGAGCTGCTGGCATTCAAGTTGTGAGCCGGCGATCTGGCTGCTGCATAAATCCGTTTGCTCTGGAGCCATCCCTTCCTGAGCTGAGGCAAAAACGTGTGAGCGGGAGGCTAAAAACCTGTGAGCTGGCTCACACTAACTCAGCTTAGAGGGAACCCTGCTGGGGACGCAGGTCTGTCGCCGGGGGAGTGTAGCTTGCCTCCGGGGGCTCCCAACGGGAGTTTCTAGAATTATAAACCCACTTCTCCTTGCATGAAGTCTTCCAAAAAGGGGGACAGCCCGTTTGAGAATGACAGGAGTACTCCGTCCATGAACGTTAGCTGCATAATGTGTCTTTTGTAGGACCGGCAAAAAGCATCCATACAAGAAGGCTGTCCCCCTTTTTGGAAGACTTCATGCAAGGAGAAGCGGGCTTATAATTCTAGAAACTCCCGTTGGGGCTTGACTTTTAAAACACTGAAAAATTGCTTTCATGATATATGTTGGGGAGGGTATTGATTTTAGGGGTTCTTATAATGTAATTTTATTTGTTACGTCAGGGGTCCCCAGCGTTTTTGAGCCTGTGGGGACACTGGGAAGTCTGACACTGTATGTTGGATGCAGCCACAAAATGGCTGCCCCGGGAGGCGGAGCCAGCCACAAAATGGCTGCCCTGGAGGCGGTGCCAGCCACAAAATGGCTGCCACAATTTATCTTCAGTGGAAACTGGAGCTGCAGTGTTAGAAGAGTCAAACAACAGATATATACACTGCAAAAACCTTATTTATAAGTTAAAGTGTTCTATATGTTCCATCTTATAAAGTGCATTGTGTATTATTCATAATATTCTAAAACAGGTATATATTCATTACATGCAATATCCACAATAATCATCAGTTTGTACAATCTAATAGCTACCAGTCAGTTTACATCCTTTTTACACCATCAACCCCAACGGGAGTTTCTAGAATTGTACACCCGCTTCTCCTTGCTTGAAAGTCTTCTAAAGGGGGAAGTTTCCTTTTGTGGTTACATTGACGTTTAAATTGATGTTTGTTGCTGGTCCTACAAAAGGCCCATTCAGCAGCTGACATTCATAGACGGAGCACTCCTGTCTTTCTCAAGGCAGCAACAAACAATGTAACCACAAAAGGAAACTTCCCCCTCTAGAAACTCCCCTTGGGGTTGATTGTGTAAAAAGGATGTAAACTGAGTGGTAGCTATTAGATTGTACAATTATGATTATTGTTGATATTGCATGTAATGAATATATATACCTGTTTTAGAATATTATGAATAATACACAAGGCACTTTATAAGATGGAACATATAGAACACTTTAACTTACAAATAAGGTTTTTGCAGTGTATATATCTGTTGTTTGACTCTTCTAACACTGCAGCTCGAGTCACAGTGATGGGCCTTGTGCTGTGGTGGCCGCTGCTGCCCAAGCAACATTTTTTAAAAACATCTGCTCAGCCAGTGAGATCTCCAAAAGCTCTTCCTGGCCCCTCCCGTGGGCCTCCAAAGCGGAGTTTACCCGCCCCCACTTGGCAGCCCCCTGTTGGGGAACCCCTGCTGGATGGGTTTTAAATTGTTAGTGGCCGTGGCAACCCTTATAGGGCCAGAAAAGTGGGATACAAATGTTGTAAATAATAATGACAGCGATAAAGGCATCTCCTGGGTGCAGACACCCTCAAAGATGCTGGAACAAACCTTGCGTTGGTTGGACTCGAGGAGGGCAATGAGCATTCGCGGGACGGCGCAGGCTGTGCCATTGACCTGTCGAGAAAGAAGAGATAAGGTGTGTGTGGGGGGGTCCTGTCCATCCTCCCCCCCCCCAGCTAGTAGGCTTTTTGGGATGTCTCTTCAAGATCGATGGCATAAGAACCTAAGAAGAGCCCTGCTGGATCAGACCCGTGGTCCATCTAGTCCAGCCTCCTGTCTCACACAGGGGCCAGCCAGTTCCTCTGGAGGGCCAACAACCGGGCAGAGAGGCCGAGGCCTTCCCCTCAGAAGAACATCAGAAGAGCCCTGCTGGGTCAGACCAGTGAGGGTCCATCTAGTCCAGCCTCCTGTCTCACACAGGGGCCAGCCAGTTCCTCTGGAGGGCCAACAACCGGGCAGAGAGGCCGAGGCCTTCCCCTCAGAAGAACATCAGAAGAGCCCTGCTGGGTCAGACCAGTGAGGGTCCATCTAGTCCAGCCTCCTGTCCCACACAGGGGCCATTCGGTTCCCCCGGAGGGCCAACAACAGGGTAGAGAGGCCGAGGCCTTCCCCTGATAAGAACCTCAGAAGAGCCCTGCTGGATCAGACCAGTGAGGGTCCATCTAATCCAGCCTCCTGTCCCACACAGGGGCCAACCAGTTCCTCTGGAGGGCCAACAACAGGGCAGAGAGGCCGAGGCCTTCCCCTGATAAGAACCTCAGAAGAGCCCTGCTGGATCAGACCAGTGAGGGTCCATCTAATCCAGCCTCCTGTCCCACACAGGGGCCAACCAGTTCCTCTGGAGGGCCAACAACAGGGCAGAGAGGCCGAGGCCTTCCCCTGATAAGAACCTCAGAAGAGCCCTGCTGGATCAGACCAGTGAGGGTCCATCTAATCCAGCCTCCTGTCCCACACAGGGGCCAACCAGTTCCTCTGGAGGGCCAACAACAGGGCAGAGAGGCCGAGGCCTTCCCCTGATAAGAACCTCAGAAGAGCCCTGCTGGATCAGACCAGTGAGGGTCCATCTAATCCAGCCTCCTGTCCCACACAGGGGCCAACCAGTTCCTCTGGAGGGCCAACAACAGGGCAGAGAGGCCGAGGCCTTCCCCTGAGGTTGCCTCTGGGATTCAGGGGCTTCGTGCCTCTGAATGTGGAAGTTCCGTCTAGTCACCACAGCACGCCTAGAAGAACAAAAGGGAGCTAAGGGCCAATGGGGAGGCTTTTCTGCCCCTGCCCCAAACACCCCCCCCCCATCTCACACACACACACCCCTACATGTGAAAGCCCCTCAATGAAGTCAAGGCAGCCGAAGATGGGAGACTTCCCGGGGGTCCTCATGAACGCCCCCCGCAGCAGTCTGAAGATGGGGTTTCAGTGCCACGAACGACTGGCCGCCACTCACCGTATGGGCATAGTGGAACTGCCCCTCCCTGTTGTAGTACTTGATGCTCAGCCGCCGGCTCTGGTAGTCCGTGCAGTTGGAGGCGCTGGAGATCTGGCGGGGGGGGGGAGGGGGGGAAGAAGTCAGAGCGTTCCAGGCAGTCTCAAAAAATCACTCGTGACGTGACCATGAAACGGAGGGTGGGGAGAGCTGGGCATATTGGGGACATCGCTCTCCTCCCACGACGGACGGGAGTAAGAAGGCCGTAGGCCGCGATCCGAGAGGAGGTGGAGTGGGGGTGGCTCCTCACGGGGGAATGTCAGGGTCTATAGTCAGTTCACACCACGCGGCGCTTCATAAGAAGTATTCTGTTTATGGGTAGTACATAACCACGATCCATGTACATTAGAGATGTAAAATTTCCAGAAATTTTGAAGCTCGGGAAAAAACCCAGGTTTTTTCAGGGGGGGGGGGGGGGGAGAAAGAAAATTTTTCAAAAATTAAAAATCCAGGGCTCTTTTTGTAGCAGGAACTCCTTTGCATATTAGGTGACACACCCCTAATGTAGCCAATCCTCCAAGAGCTTACAGTAGCCCCTGTAAGAAAAGCTCTGTAAGCTCTTGGGGGATTGGCTACATTAGGGGTGTGTCGTCTAATATGCAAAGGAGTTCCTGTTACAAAAAGAGCCAATTATTGCAAACAGAATACCCACCCACAAGCAAAGACAAAACTGAAATCTTTTTCTTTTCTTGTGACAATGGCACCTCCTAAAGGAAGAAATGCATCTTGTTCTTGCATTGGAGAGTTCAGTTTTTAACCTAGGACTTGCTTGTCTTCACTGCACAGAAATTAGATCAATCTGATACCATACATTTTTTTAAAGAAATGATTTGGAAAACATTTGAACACATCTTAAAATATTTTATTCAACATGTTAAAATAAAATGTTCCATAATATTTTTTTTTCCTTTTCTTTTTTTAATTTTTCCAATTTTTCGGAAAAAAAGGGGGGGAAACGTTTCCCCCCCCGAATGTTTCCGGTTTTTTTCTGGACCTTCACATCTCTAATGTACGCTCCTTGTTAGGAATGGCCTAAAACAGCAGGGCAACTAAAGATATAGTAGTTTCAAAACACCCCCCGTTACAAGCAAAAGCCAATAAGCATGTCTCAATTGTCCCGTGCACGCGAGAGGACCTCCAAGGAAATCCAGGGTTGCTACGCAGAGGCAGGCAACGGCAAACCCACTCTGTCTCTGCCCTGACCCGGACGGCCCAGGCTAGCCCGATCCCATCAGATCTCAGAAGCTAAGCAAGTTCTGCCCTGGGTAGTAACTGGATGGGAGACCGCCAAGGAAGCCCAGGCTTGCTACGCAGAGGCAGGCACCGGCAAACTATCTTGGCAAGAGCCAAGCTGAACATTAAAGCAGAATGAGGTGTGAGAATAAAGGAGTTAGGATTTAGGGCTATCTCATTTCCGCTTAGGAAGGTGACACTTAGAATCACAGACGGGACCTCCAGGGTCATCTAGTCCAACCCCCTGCACAAGGCAGGACATTCACAGATACCTCCCCCCATGCCCCTTTAAACGAGCCCTCCCCCAAAACACCTCCCTGTAAGTGGAAAACTGGCACAGCAGGGGGGAAACCCTCTTCCCACCCAGTAAGCTAATTCGTAACATTACTAGCGTGTTTTTATTTAAGTGTGAGAAAGAAGTGTAGTACGTGTGCAACTGAAGTGGTACAGCCCAGACAGAGTCTAAGCACCTCTGTCTACCATCTCCTTCTGCGTAAATGTGCAGATTGGCTCTAAAGCTTAAGAACATAAGAACATAAGAGTTGCCAATGTTGGATCAGGCCAAAGGCCCATCCAGTCCAACACTCTGTGTCACACAGTGGCCAGAAATACCAGTGCCATCAGGAGGTCCACCAGTGGGGCCAGGACATTAGAAGCCCTCCCACTGTTGCCCCCCCCCAAGCACCAAGAAGACAGAGCATCACTTGCCCCAGAGTCCCTATCTATACCTTGTGGCCAATAGCCACTGATGGACCTCTGCTCCATATGCTTATCTAATTCCCTCTTGAAGCCGTCCATGCTTGTAGCTGCCACCACCTCCTGCTGCCACCACCTCCTGTGGCAGTGAATTCCATGTGTTCATCACTCTTTGGGTGAAGAAGGACCTCCTTTTATCCGCTCTAACCCGACCGCTCAGCAATTTCATGGAGTGCCCACGAGTTCTTGTATTGTGAGAAAGGGAGAAAAGTACCTCTTTCTCTACCTGCTCTTTCCCATGCATAATCTTATATTAAGATTATGTAAGGTGGTCAAGGTTCATACCTCTGCCGGTTTCCAACCAGACCGACAGGGAGTCAACGAAAGGTGCGCCGCTGTTCTCTCTTGCCTTAACCTTGATGGCCAAAGTGAGCCTGATCGCGTCAGAGCTCGGAAGCTAAGCAGGTTCAACCCTGGTCAGTAATTGGATGGGAGACCGCCAAGGGAAGTCCAGGGTTGCTACGCAGAGGCAGGCGATGGCCAGCCACCCCTGAACGTCTCTTGCCTTGAAAACACTCCGGGGTCGCCAAAGTTGGCTGCGACTTCACGGCAAAACCAAACAACAACAAGGAAAGCAGACGTTCTTGTCTTGTGTGCGCAGCTCATGGGATTCCACAGAGAGGGACTGGCCCGAGAGGCCAGCTGCAACTAGACTAGGGGCGACAGTCTCCGAATTGGCACCCTGCCGAACAAGCCAAGCGTCACCCCGGCACCTACAGGCACCTTCTCTCAAGCAGAAAACTGTGGGACCCGTTCCACTTTCCTCAAAAACGCTCTTTGGCCCTGACCCCGAAGGACGAAGCCGGATGGGTCGTTGCATTAGGAAGGCCTATACTCCTCCTGCGCCACTCACCTCTCCGTACGCGCCCCGGCCCGGCATCCAGGCCTCGATGTCGAACTTCCTATAGGCAGGCAGGCCCAGTTCCTGTGTGGGCATATCCAGAACCCTGTTGGGAAAGAGAAAATCCAACTGAGGGCGGCGGCAGCAGCTGTGGCATTCGGCCAACCCTTGGCCAGCTTGACTAGTGGGCTAGGGCAGAGCCAGTTTGGTCTAGTGCAGTGATGGCGAACCTTTTAGAGACCGAGTGCCCAAACTGCGACCCAAAACCCACTTATTTATCGCAAAGTGCCAACACGGCAGTTTAACCTGAATACTGAGGTTTTACTTTAGAAAAAACAACTCATACATTAACTTAAGATGATCCAAACAAAGTAAGGAAAGCAATCCCAAATGCTTTCATTTACTTACAATTATTTGGCAGAGAATTTGACACTTTAATGATGGTCTGGGCCTGGCTGGGGCAATGGTACGCGTGCCCACAGAGAGAGCTCTGAGTGCCACCTCTGGCACCCGTGCCATAGGTTCGCCACCACTGGTCTAGTGGTTAGGAGTGTCGGACTCTAATCTGGGAGACCTGGGTTTGATTCCCCACTCCTCCTCCACATGCAGCTGCTGGTGTGACCTTGGGTCAGTCACAAGCTCTCGCAGTATGCAACACTGGCAAGACGAACCAATCATCTAAACAAAAGACCATTGAAAGAATTTCAGCAGAAATGGCAAGTTTACGGGAATAATTAACCTTTTAAAAAAATTCTGGAATTACCTGAATATCATATTAAAGGTGATGGAGAGATTGATGTTAGTTTCAATACTTTATTTTGTATTCCACGGGTAATTAAATAATTAGTAAGAATAAAATTTAGATTTAGATAAACAATTAAGACAGTGTTTTTACAATGATTTAATCTTAGCACAGAAGTTCCGTTCAACTGTTAAAGATATAATCTTTTATCGTTAATAGATTATCGCTAACTTTAGGAAAGTTCTTGTTTATTCTTTAGAGAGGGAATCTATCCCAAAATTCTGCACTATCGATGTTTTACTGTCTGCTTCTATATTTGAAATATGTAATACATTTGGTAATGCATCTGATTTTTACTTGTTGTATGTACCAACTCATAATATTTGACAAACCTGATGAATCTCTATTTCCCCCCTACCCCCTTTCCCTTCTGTATTCCACCTTTTTTTTTAGAGAAAATGATTAAAAATTTAAATAAAAAAATTAAATCAAAACCAGTTCTGTCAGAGCTGTTCTCTCAGGAGCAGTCTCTGTCAGAGCTCTCTCAGCCCCGCCTACCTCACAGGGTGTCTGTTGTGGGGAGAGGGAGGGAAACGAGATTGTAAGCCGCTCTGAGACTCCGAGTGAAGGGCAGGGTATAAATCCTATCTCCTCTTCTTCTTCTCTCAGCCAGTCTTTCTACCTGGTCAGGTTGCTAATGGAGGGAAGGGGACTTGCTCCACCTCCAGAACCAGTTGCTTATCCGGAGCCTCTACGTCAGGCATGCTTGAAGCTGACCAGAAAGGCACACGGCTCAGTTCCTTGAACAGGCATGAAGCTGCCTTCTACTGAATCAGACCACCGGTCCATCAAGGTCAAAATTGTTGATTCAGACTGGCAAGTGGCTCTCTGGGATTTCAGACAGAGCTCTTCCGCATCGCCTACTGCAGGGGGGTCCCCAACACGGCGCCCACCATGTGTTTTTAGAAACTGAGTGGGGCCAGGGGGGAGGAGGGGGAGTCTCTTGCGCAACAGGGCTTTCGATTGGCCGTCGGAGGTCTGCTGGGCTGTGCAAAGTAAAATAACCTTGTCATGGCGGCAGCTGTCACCGGCCCCGGCCTGGTGGGACACGCTCCCGTCTGAGATCAGGGCTCTGCGAGACCTCTTACTGTTTCACAGGGCCTGCAGAACAGAGCTCTTCCACCGGACCTTCAGTTGAGGCGCCAGGCACCTGATTATTCGGCCTCCCTTGCTGAAATCTTCCAACTGTCTCTGGCCCACCTTAATGAGACTCCTCACCGCTCCTCGGTTTGTGGCCTAGTTGCTGCCAGTCATTTAGTACTGCTGGAGCCTCATGAACTCTGTTATTTGTACTACCTGCCGTTTTAAAATTGGTTAATTCATTGATTTGTTATAACTTGCTCTTTATGGTTTTATGACTCTATTGTGGTTCCTCAGTGGCATAGGCTTCCTCGGGAGGTGGCGGGCTCTCCTTCGTTGGAGGTTTTCAAACAGAGGCTGGATGGCTATCGGACAGCGATGCGGATTCTGTGAACTGAGGCAGATCACAAAAAGGGAGGGCAGGAAGGGTCGCCTCAGTGCTTAGAAGAAGAAGAAGATGATGATATTGGATTTATCCCCCGCCCTTCCCTACCCAAAGGTGTCTCAGAGCGGCTTACAAACTCCTCCCCCTTCCCCTCCCCACAACAGACACCCTGTGAGGCAGGTGGGGCTGAGAGAACTCTGACAGGAACTGCTCTTTTTCAAGAACAGCTCTTATCAGAACTACGGCTTGCCCAAGGTCATCCGGCAGCTGCAAGTGGAGGAGTGGGGAATCCAACCCGGTTCTCCCAGATTAGAGTCCGCGCACTTTTTAAAAATCTTTTTTATTGAGCTTGATATAACGAGAAATAACACAACACATAGTCATCTTAAATAAATCCTACATATCCAAAGTAAGGCTTAACATCATAACCTTGAGATAAAACATCTGCTGCAGTTGGCCCGGTTCTATCATTAATATCGATGGGGGGAAATGTAGTGGGTAATTCAATCAGGAAAATATGGCCCCCCGTTTGTCTTTTTCTAAGAAGATAGACCATTTTTCTAGAGGGCTCGCTAGTTCTTGTTCGGAGTCCGCGCACTTAACCACCACACCAGACTGGGTTCTCGTGACCCTTTCTTATGCGCCCAGGGAAATGCTGATTGCCACTTTGGGGTCAGGAAGCCATTGTTCTCCAGGCCAGTTTGGCCAGGGATCCTGGAGGTTCTTAGCAATCCTCTGGGCGTGGAACAGGGATCACCAGGGGCTGGGATATGTGTGCATTTCCTGCCTTGTGCAGGGGGTTGGACTAGATGACCCTGGAGGTCCCTTCCAGCTCTAGGATTCTATGATTCTACTCGCCCTGAGCCCGCTTGCGGGGAGAGTGGGAGATGAATAGGGGGAAATAAATAAATAACAAACAAGTGCTTGGTTTTATTCTCTGCCACGCTCCTCTTTCCCAGTGTATTTTCCCTCTCCACTTGGGCTTTGCGTGTGTGTGTGTGTGGGGGAGGGGGTTCCACCTCCTGCAGCAGCCACTTGGCAGTCGTGCCCAGCACCCTGCGTCAGAATTCCAGTGGAGCCCGCAGGCTCGAAAAGGCTGGGGACCCCCCCGGCCTCCTGCCTTTTTAACTGGAGGTACCGGGGATCGAACCTTGGGCCTCCTGCGTGCCAAGCAGATGTTCTTCCACTGAGCCACAAACCCTCCTTCCCACTATTAATTGGGGTTGACCTCTTCCCTGGCTGTGGACAGACACACGCACAAGATGCAATAACGACTGTACGAAAACCCCTAGCTGCTTTCGAACCAGGTGCACTTGGAAAATGCTCCCTCCCCCCTCCGTCCTGCTCACAACCGGCTCCCAAAGGCCTTTAATATTCCAGGCGTTTTAAAGAGACCTACCGATCCACCGCACTTCCCCAGGCCTCTCAACAATTAGACTTTAATGAGATGCTTATTGAACAAGACGCTGCCGCCCACGGACCCATGGCGGGATCAGCGCCGTATGAAGAAGTTATTATTGCTGACAAATAGGCCATCCGGGAAGGTGGGCGAGCGCACGGCTGCTCTGTTGCGCCGCTGGAGGGCTCGGAGATGGAGAACGCCTCTCAGTGGCAACTTGGGCCCGTTTAGCAGGGGCTGCCGACGTGTTTCCAGGTGTTCTTTTGAGCGGTTAAGCCCCACCAGAGCTGTTGACTCCCAGCTGTAGCTTTTATGAGCCTGCCGGTTACGCTCTCCGGCTGCTCTGTTGCGCCGCTGGAGGGCTCGGAGATGGAGAACGCCTCTCAGTGGCAACTTGGGCCCGTTTAGCAGGGGCTGCCGACGTGTTTCCAGGTGTTCTTTTGAGCGGTTAAGCCCCACCAGAGCTGTTGACTCCCAGCTGTAGCTTTTATGAGCCTGCCGGTTACGCTCTCCACGACACATCCAGATCAATGTTCCCTCTAAGCTGTAGAGTCTTGTGAGCAAAAATTCTACTTTGTCAGCTACTGGCATTAAGGTTGTGAGCGAGCAATTTGGTTACTGCATAAATCAGTATGCACTGGAGCCATCCTTCTTGAGCTAGGACAAAAATGTGTGAGCCGGAGGCTAAAAAACTGTGAGCTAGGCTCACACTAACTCAGCTTAGAGGGAACACTGATCCAGATGGCTCAAAGTGGAACCCAAGAGACTCGGTCTGCTATGCAAAATGACTAGGCCATCGGGCCAGCTCACACCAGCCAAAACACACGGTGTCCCTCACAGCAGCTAACACGGATCCCACCGCATCCACCGCCAGTCCCAATGGCTAACACGGATCCCATCCACCACCATGAGTAATTAAGAGTAATTAATGCGTAGAATTCACTGCCGTAGGAAGTGGTGGCAGCTACAAGCACAGACAGCTTCAAGAGGGGACTGGAGGAATACGTGGAGCAGAGACCCATCAGTGGCTATTAGCCGTAAGGTGTAGATGGAACACTCTGTCTGGAGCAAGGGATGCGCTGTCTTCTGGGTGCTTGGGGTTGACAGCAGTGTTCCCTCTAAGCTGAGTGAGTGTGAGCTAGCTCACAGTTTTTTAGCCTCCGGCTCACACATTCTTGCCTTCGCTCAGGAAGGAGGGCTCCAAACCAAACTAACTTATGCAGCAGCCAAATCACTCGCTCACAACTTTAATGCCAGTAGCTCACAAAGCAGAATTCTTGCTCACAAGACTCCACTGCTTAGAAGGAGCATTGGTGGACAGTGGGAGGGGCTTCTAGAGTTTCTGGCCCCGCTGGTGGACCTCCTGATGGCCCCTGGGTTTTGGCCACTGTGGACACTGAGTGTGGGACTGGATGGGCCATTGGCCTGATCCAATATTGGCTTAATCAGATAATCACCAGTGTTCCCTCTAAGCTGTGGAGTCTTGTGAACAAATGTGAGCTACTGGCATTAAAGTTGTGAGCAGGTGATTTGGCTACTGCATAAATTACTTGCTCTGGAGTCATCCTTCCCGAGCTAAGACAAAAATGTGTGAGCCAGAGGCTAAAAAATCTGTGAGCTAGCTCACACTAACTCAGCTTAGAGGGAACACTGATAATCACAGAATCAAAGATTTGGAAGGGACCTCCAGGGTCATCTAGTCCAACCCCCTGCACAATGCAGTAAATTCAGAAATACCGTCTCCTCCCTCCCCCCCCGCAGTGACCCCTGTTCCAAACCAAGAAGATGACAAAAAAGCCCTCCAGGATCTCCAGCCAAACTGGCCTTGAGAAAAACGGCTTCCTGGCCCCAAAGTGGCGATCAGCATTTCCCTGGGCGTGCAAGAAAGGGCCACGAGAACGAAGCACTGATGCAACCCTCCCTGCCCACCATTCTCATCATGATCTGCCTCCGTTCACAGAATCTTGTGCTTCTCTTTTGTTCTCTTATGAGTCACACCGGCCAGTACGGATCCCACCGCACCCACCACAAGTCACACTGGCCAGTTCGGATCCCAACAAAGTCACCTGGGCCAGTTTGGATCCCCCCGCACCCACCACAGGTCACACCGGCCAGTACGGATCCCACCACACCCACCACGAGTCACCCACGTTATCTCACTTGTAGTGCAGCCCCAGCTCGGAGAAGATCTCTTTCTGCAGAGTTAGAAATTCTTCCAGCAGGGCCGCGCTCTCCTCCCCGGTCTCGTTCGCTGTAACCCCAAACATTTCCACCTAAACGAGGGGAGACAGCCTCATTAAGCACAGGGGGGTGAAAACTTAGAATCCTAAATGTGTCTTAGAATCATGGAATCCTAGAGTCGGAAGGGACCTCCAGGGTCAT